ACACACACACACACACACACACACACAAAGCCAGATATGAAGCTGTAGCTCACATGGTAGAGTGCTAGCAGCCTTGGGCAAAAAACATCTCAGGGACAATACCCAGGCCTTCCCCTCAGTGTAAGCCCGAGAACTGGCACCAAAAAAGCCTGAGCAAGACCTCCTTATCTTTAATGGAAAGAATAATGATAATTACCTAAGGTGTTAATTAAGACGACTGTGCCTTACAAGGTTACCTAGTATGTAAGCTATGTCATATTACCATACTCCTGACTATGCTCTCTCTTATTTATTTATTTTTGTCTGTCATGGGGCCTGAACTCTGGGTGTGGGCGCTGTCCCTCAGCTCTTCAGCTCAAGGCGAGTGCTCTACCACTTGAGCCACAGTGCCACTTCCGGTTTTCTGGTGGTTTATTGGAGATTGGAGTCTCACGGTCTCTCCTGCCCCGGCTGGCTTTGAACCGCAATCCTCAGATCTCAGCCTCCTGAGTAGCTAGGATTACAGGCGTGAGCCACCAGCGCCCGGCTCCAGCTTTTTCTGCTGAGGAATGGAACCCAGGGCCTCATGCATGTCAGGCAAGCACTCTACTCCTGAGCCACCTTCCCAGCCCTAACTATGCTCTCTTTTGGGGTTCTCCCTCATCAGCACGTGGAGGAAGGGGGCCCAGCCCAAGAGGCGGGGCTGTGTGCTGGGGACCTGATCACCCATGTGAATGGAGAGCCTGTGCATGGTATGGTGCACCCAGAGGTCGTAGAGCTGATCCTTAAGGTGAGTCCGGGGGAGAAGACCACAGGGTGAGGGCACAGAGGCCCTGAGAGCAGTCTCCAGCCCGAGTGTTCCATCCCTTCTTTTCCCAGAGTGGCAACAAGGTGGCAGTAACCACAACACCCTTCGAAAATACCTCCATCCGCATTGGCCCAGCAAGGCGCAGCAGCTACAAGGCCAAAATGGCCCGGAGGAACAAGCGGCCCTCGGCCAAGGAGGGCCAGGAGAGGTGGGCAGGGCCATAAACAAAACCAGTCCTTGATAAGTGGGTGGGCTAAAGATGGCTCTGGGTGAGGGCAGGGGAAGGGCTGAAGAGAGGTAGATAGATCCAAAGCAAATGGACAAGCCAGTTAAAGGGGGAGGGGGTTTGGAAGAGTTGGAGAAGCTAGCAAAGGAGGGTTCCCAGATGGGCGAAAAGCAGTGTGGGAGTATCTTGGGCAGGTGGGCAGCAGATAGGGACAGAAAGATAAGTGAGCACAAGAGTGCAGGAGGATGCCCAGGAGAGGGTCCTGTCCTGCTGGAGATTTCTCCCAGGAATAAGCATGCCAAGCAAGGCTGAGCCGGCTGCAAAACAGCATGCTTGGCTTAATGACAAGCTTATTCTCAAAAAGGTGCTCTTAGGTGATTTTTATCAGAGTGCTAAAGCAAATGTGACATCATTGAGCTATATAATCTTATGGGACTCCTCCCCTTTCTTTAATTGAAATGTCTGCTATTATTCGACAGATGACTGTAATTTCTACCCACGTAATGAAGTAGCTATGGGTGAGGCCAGATGAGTATTGTTTTTGTTTTGTTTTTATTTTGTGCCAGTCCTGGGGCTTGAATTCAAGGCCTCCAGGTCTCACTTGGATTTTTCTCTCATCTGGTGCGCTACCACTTGAACCGCAGCTCTACTTCCGCCATTTTTGGGGGGTGGTTAATTGGAGATAACCACCCAAATTGACCAAAGTGGAAAGGGAGCCCAGGAGAGCTAAGCTAAGGGCAGTCCTTTGATTGGTAGGTTTGTAGTGAGGGGCGTGGCTAAAGAGAGAGGAGTCAGAAATGTGGGCTTGGAACGGAAAAGGGCTCAAACAGGACTAAGCCAACAGAAGTTCCTCGGTGGATTGTAGTGAGGGTAGTGGCTGAGTTGGGCGGGGCCAGACCAGTGGGCATGGTCAAACTGGACCGGTCCGGAAGGACTAAGCCAAGGGAAGTTCTTTGGTGAGTTGTAATGAGGGGCGTGGCTAAACAAGGAGGGGGAATCAGACAAGTGGGCGTGTCAAAATGAAAAGCCCTCCTCCCAAGACTGAGCCAAGGGAAATTCTTTGATTGGTGGGTTATAGCAGGGGGCGTGGCCAAACAGGGGAATCAGAAATGTAGGCATGGTCAAAACGAAAAGGGCCTCAGCAGGACTAAGCCAAGAGAAGTGGGGAGGGGAGTGGCTAAACGGGGGGGGGGCGGAGAGCCAGAACGGTGGGCGTGGCCACAGGATTGAGCCAAGGGAAGCTCTTTGATTGGCGGGTTATAGCGAGGGGCGTGGCTGTGGGCGGCCCAGGTGCTGTGTTACCGCCCACACGTGGGAGGAGCCTGAGCTCCAGGGTCTGGTCCAGAGGAGGCGCTGCCTTTGTCCCCACCAGCAAGAAGCGCAGCTCGCTCTTCCGGAAGATCACGAAGCAGTCGAACCTGCTGCACACCAGCCGCTCGCTGTCCTCGCTGAACCGCTCACTGTCGTCCAGTGACAGCCTCCCGGGCTCGCCCACCCACGGGCTGCCCGCGCGCTCGCCCACCCACAGCTACCGCTCCACGCCCGACTCCGCCTACCTAGGTGGGCTCTGCCGCCCCCGGTGGGAGGGGCGGGTGGACGCGGGGCCGGGGCTGGCTGGCTGGGGGACCGGCCTGGTGCTCACTGAGCGCCGCCCCCCCCCCCCCGCAGGCGCCTCGTCCCAGAGCAGCTCGCCCGCCTCGAGCACCCCGAACTCGCCCGCGTCGTCGGCGTCACACCACATCCGGCCCAGCACGCTGCACGGGCTGTCGCCCAAGCTCCACCGCCAGTACCGCTCGGCTCGCTGCAAGTCGGCCGGCAACATCCCGCTGTCGCCGCTGGCCCACACGCCGTCCCCGACGCAGGCGTCGCCGCCGCCGCTGCCCGGCCACACGGTGGGCAGCTCGCACACCACGCAGAGCTTCCCGGCCAAGCTCCACTCGTCGCCCCCCGTCGTGCGCCCGCGCCCCAAGAGCGCCGAACCCCCGCGATCGCCGCTCCTCAAGCGCGTGCAGTCGGCGGAGAAGCTGGGCGCCTCTCTGGGCGCCGACAAGAAGGGCGCGCTGCGCAAACACAGCCTCGAGGTGGGCCACCCGGATTTCCGCAAGGACTTCCACGGCGAGCTGGCGCTGCACAGCCTCGCCGAGTCCGACGGCGAGACGCCGCCCATCGAAGGGCCAGGGGCCGCTCGACAGGTCGCCGTCCGCCGCCTGGGTCGCCAGGAGTCGCCCCTGAGCCTGGGCACGGACCCGCTGCTGCCCGACAGCGCTCCCAGGCCGCCAGTGTCCAGCAAGGAAAAGGAATCGCCGGGCGGCACCGACGCCTGCACCCCACCCCGGGTGACAACTCCTGGGGGCCGGACCCTGGAGCGGGACCCCAGCTGCACGCGACACCAGAGCGTGCAGACGGAGGAGGGCGCCGGCGGCGTGGCCAGGGCCGTGGCCAAGGCCGCGCTGAGCCCGGTGCAGGAGCACGAGACGGGCCGGCGCAGCAGCTCGGGCGAGGCCGGCACCCCCCCAGTGCCCATCGTCGTAGAGCCCGCGCGACCAGGAGTCAAGGCCGAGACGCCCCAGCCTCTGGGCACGAACTCCAAGGGATTACAGGAACCTGCACCCCAGGGGCCTCTGGCACCCGAGGCTCCGAGGGGCCGGGAGCGCTGGGTGCTGGAGGTGGTGGAGGAGCGGACCACTCTGAGCGGGCCCCGCTCCAAGCCCGCTTCCCCCAAGCTCTCCCCAGACCCCCAGACCCCGACCCCAGCCCCGACCAAGAATGCACCTGGTAGCACAGGCCCCGGAGCCCCGGCCGCTTCTCTCCTGGTCCCAGGCACTAAGCCGGAAGTAGGGCTCACCTCCTCCAGGAGCCCTGCGGAAGCTTTGACGCCGACAGCCCTGACCAAAAAAGGGGCGTCAAGCCCCGCACCCCCAGGCCCATAGCAGAAGCAGGCCCAGGCCGTTGGTCCTGTGCTGTACAGCCGCCTGTATACATATGTACACATATAAATAAAGTGCGTCTGTGCTGTGGGAGCTTTGGAGGACTCACCTGTGTTCCCCAGGCCAAGAGCAACACCCGACCTGCCTTCCCCTAGGCTCCCTTGATGGATGGGAAGTGGAACTCAAGTGCTAGGTACCATGGAGGAGGGGAGCTGAGTTAGGGGTGGGACCTTGCTATGGTCCACTCACTTCCTGTTTCTCACCTTCTCCAGGAAGATTGGTGCACAGATGGTCTGTGTCCCAGCATGCCCCTCTGAAGAGAGTTAATAGGCGCTTTGCCCCATGACCGACAAAAAAAAAAAAAAAAAAAAAAATCAGCGTGCTCCAGTGATTTCCTTTTATTCCTCAACCATCCTGAGTAGCACGTTATTCTCATTTTGCACACAAGTAGACTGAGGCACAGAGAAGTTAATGCACATAATTAAGATCATGCTGAACTAGAAGTCAAAGTCAAGTCCTGGCTGGAAGTATGGTGGTACCGTGCATTATGCATGCCTAAGGCTCTGGATTAAGTTGAATCCACACACACACACAAAAGTCAGGCTGGGCACTAGTGGCCCCGTCCTTTAATGCTAGCTCCCCCAGAGGCTGAGAATGCAGGTTTGATGCCAGATCAGGCAAAGTTTGTGAGACTCATCTCCAATTAACCACGAAAAAAACAAACTGGTAGTGGAGATGTGGTTCAACTGGTTGAGTGCCAGCCTTGATTAAAAAAAACAAAAAACACAACACCCAGCTGAGCGCACCCAAGAGGCTGAGATCTGAGGATCACAGTTCAAAGTCAGCCTGGGCAGGAAAGTGTAAGACTCTTATTGCCAGAAATCCAGAAATGGCGCTGTGGCTCAAGTGGTAGAGTGCTAGGCCAGAGTGGTAGACTGATATAGTGCCCAGGCCTTGAGTTCAAGCCCCACGACCAACCGAAAAAAGGGAGGGGGGAAGAACCAAGTCCTAGAGTTAGACCCCCCCCAGTACTAGCGCACATGCACATACAATCAAGTCTAAACCAGTTCCTGAGTCTTAGTTCCTGGCGCTGCTGAGTTTCCAGGCCCTGTTCTCTTCTCCACAGGGTTTCCAGGCCTTGACCAGCGGCTGGAAGGCCTTCCAGAGGGCTGATAGCTGGGTACAGAGTGTGCCCCCACCTCGATGTTCCTCTCCCAGATTACGATTCATGTCACCAATGCAGGTCCAGGGCCCTTCTGGGGCCACGCACCATTTGGAATGGTCCTCTGTAGCCCTGAAGGTTGGCCCACTTGGTCCTGGGAAACCTGTCTGTGTCACATCCAGAATTTGCTGCGTCCCAGAGCAGTTGGAGGGCAAAATGCCTGGAGAATTCTGCCAGAACTGGACATGCAGGTCACTGCCAAGGGCCGCTGCCAACCAACCAGAGTACAAGTCTGCAGAGGATGGAAAGAGGGCACGGGCTGGGACGGAGACATTCCCCAGGCTACTGTCGCCTTCTGAGCTCAATTCTAAGCAATTTTTCTGTTTTTATTTCATGTGTGCCAATACTGTGGCTTAAGCTCAAGGCCTACCTAGGCACTGTCCCTTAGCCTTTTAGCTCAAGGCTGGCACTCTATCACTTAAGTCACACTTCTACTTCTGGCTTTTTGCTGGTTAATTGAAAGTAAGAGTCACTTGGCCTTTCCTTCCCAGGCTGGCTTTGAACCCTGATCCTCAGATCTCACCCTCCCAAGTGGTTGGAATTACAGATGTGAGCCACCTGATGCTCAATAATTCTTGGAATGACATTAACACCCATTACTGAATACTGGATATTTATCACTTCATCAGTGTTGAGGTAAACATCAGTATCACACTTTTCAAGCCAGTACACTAAGACTTAGTCAAGTTACATATCAGAAAACAACATATATTTTTTGATGGTATTGGGGTTTGAACTCAGCCTCAGGCTTGCTAGGCAGGCAGGCTTATCACTAGAGCCACACACAGGTCTTTTTTTTGCTTTAGTTATTTTTTTTTTTGGGGGGGGGCAGGGTCCTGGGGCTTGCACTCTGGGCCTGGGCGCTGTCCCTGAGCATCTTTTACTTAAGGCTAACACTCTACCACTTGAGCCACTGAGCCACTTAGGCTTTTTGTTGTTGTTGTTTTTGGTAATTTATTTGAGATCAGAGTGTCACAGACTTTTCTGCCTGGGCTGACTTCAAGCCACTATCCTCAGATCTCAGCCTCCTGAGTAACTAGGATGACACCAGTGCCCAGCCTCATGGTTTTTTGTGTTTTTTTTTTTTTTTCCTTTTCTTTTTCCTTTTACTATCTTCTGACAGAATTTTTCCTACCTCTACCTCCTGAGTAGCTGGAATTACAGGTATGAGTCACTATGACCAGTCCAGAAACCAATATTTGAACCCAAGTCTATATGCCAGACACTTCCCTCCTTCAAAGAAAGAACTCTCGCCGGGCGCTGGTGGCTCACGCCTGTAATCCTAGCTACTCAGGAGGCTGAGATCTGAGGATCGCGGTTCAAAGCCAGCCCGGGCAGGAGAGACCGTGAGACTCCTATCTCCAATAAACCACCAGAAAACCGGAAGTGGCGCTGTAGCTCAAGTGGTAGAGCGCTCGCCTTGAGCTGAAGAGCTGAGGGACAGCGCCCAGGCCCAGAGTTCAAGCCCACGACCAACAACAAAAAAAGAAAGAAAGAAAGAACTCTCTTCTCCATCTCCCAACCTTAGGCTCACCATCTCCAAACTTGCCAGACTTGGCAAAGCTCTGGAAAGTAGACCCTGCCAGCGATGTAAGTGTCACACTGCTGTTCCAAGGTTCGTGGACAACATGGTGGCCCATGATGACTGCCTCCAGGTCAGGGAATTTCTGGGCAAATGTGTCTTCCAGCTTGTGGTCGAAGACCAAGGGATAGGTGTACATCAGCTGCCTGCCTGGAAGGCAAGGGGGGGGGGGGGGGGGGGGAGAGCAGCCAGTCCAAGGTTTTTATAGTTGTTTGTGTGTTTTGGAGTACCAGGGAGCTAAGCCAGAGACTCACACATGAATGGTGGGCTAACTGCTCTGTCACTAGCTCTACCCAAGCGCGCCCTCCTTTTTTTGTGCGCCAGTCCTGAGACTTGAACTTAGGACCTGGGTCCTCTGCTTCTGGCATTTTGCTGGTGACTCAAACTGTCTCACTGACTTCCCTGCCCTGGACTACCTTCAAATCAAGATCCCTAGATCTCAACCTCCTGAGCTAGGATTACAGACCTGAGATCCCAGCACTCAGCTTGAGGCTTGAACTCAGGACCTAGTGTTTGTTAGTCAAGTGCGCTACCTCTTGAGCTCTGTCTTTAGCCCTTTTGTGCTTTCGCTGCTTTTCAGGTAAAGTCTCCAGTTCTTGATCCTCCCACCTACAGCCTCTGAGTACATCACAAGTGTCCCCATCAAGCCTGGTTTTTTGACTGAGATGAGAGGGGAGGTCTCACTAGCTTTTTGCCTAAGTTGACCTTAAACTACAATTCTTAACATGCTCAAGCCACTTGGTTCTGCCTTTGGATTTTTTTTTTTTTTTTTTGTTGGTCGTGGGGCTTGAACTCTGGGCCTGGGCGTTGTCCCTCAGCTCTGCAACTCAAGGTGAGCGCTCTACCACTTGAGCTACAGCGCCACTTCCTGCCTTTGGATTTTTTGAGATAGGGTTTCTCCCTACATAGCCCAGACTGGCCTCAAACATGCAATCCTCTTGCCTCAGCCTCCTGAGTACTGGGATTCCAGACACGCACCATGAAGTGTAGCCTAATCTGGGCGTAATCAAGGTCTGATCTGGGAATCTGGGACTTACCCTGCTTTGCTGATTCTACTCACCAATCCTTAGGAACTCTTCCAAGGGAAAGGACACACAGATCAGAGTTTGCCCAAAGCTTTGGGCATTATGAGGCCAGCTGAAGGCACCAGATGACGCCAGTGGAGGGAAGCGTGGCACACTGTGGACCAGCCAGAAGCCCCCTTCCTGGTCCATGAGAAGGACCCCTGAGCCAAAAGATGGGAGATCAGAGGGACTATTCATTATGTCCCCCTCAAGCAAATCCAACCGAAACCAGGAAGAGCTTCAGTTCCCAATTCCTTTTTCAGTTCCCAATTCCTTTCTTTTGTTGTTATTGGTCGTGGAGCTTGAACTCTTGGGAGCTGTCCCTCAGCAGTTCAGCTCAAGGTTAGTGCTCTACCATTTGAGCCACAGCACCACTTCCGGTTTTCTATTGGTTTACTAGAGATAAGAGTTTCACGGACTTTCCTGCCAGGGCTGGCTTTTTTAACTGTGATCCTCAGATTTCAGCCTCCTGAGTAGCTAGGATGACAGGCGTGAGCCATCCAGGCCCAGCCAGATCCCAATTCTTAACTCCTCCCTACTATCCCCCCCCACACACACACACTGGTCAAAAGTTAATTTGGAAAATGAGCGCCTCTCCAGCCTCCCCCCAAATCCAAGCCTCACCCTTGGTATGTCCATGGCTGCTGGTGGAATCCTTAGCCAAGCTGGATTTGGGTGGCTGGTCATTATACAGCAGGAAGGCGAGCTGGGAGCAACATAGGGGCAGCTTGAAGATTCCCCCCCCCATTCTCTGTTGGGGTCCCACCCAACAGTCTCCGCCCCCCAGATTCTGCCAGGACCCGGTCACCTGGCTGGCATTATTGCGGTACAGAGGCAGCAGGCTGCGGCCCACGGCTCCCTCGGAGCTGTTGATGGACCCCACGCCGTCGCGCCAGCCCCCCGAGTTCTCGTCCAGGTATTTGTACCGTAGCCCCCTCCCCGGTGCATCCCCGGACCCGCTATGGGCCGGCAGCTTGTACACTACGAACCTGGAGGTTGAAGAAGGCACAGATGCAGATAAAAGAGAGAGACAGACACACAGAGAGAGAATCCCTAGTGTTCCGCGAGCAGTTCAGCTACCCCGGGGGCTCCCCAAGCTCACCAGTCCACAGGCTGTCCCGAGTCCCCAAAACAGCGCAGGGCCCCCGCAGGGACCCACAGCAGGGCGCACAGCAGCACAGGGCTCGGCGACATCCTGTGGGTGCCGCTGCAGGGAAGGGTCTGCTGCGGGGCCCCCGAGGAGCCGGGTCACGAGCGGCCCAGTCGGGCGAGTACTTCCCCAAACTCGCCTGGGAACCTGGGCCCGGACACGGCCAGGGCGCAGACTCCGCCCCGGAGACCGAGCGCTCGGATTCGGAAGGCGGAGTCCTCGGTGGGCGTGGCTTCCCTCGGTCTGCCCCGCCCCGACAGCCGCGGCCTGGCCACGCCCATTCTGCCTCTGATTGGGCCTTCCCAAGCCCCGCCCTATGCTGTCTTCCCTCCTTCCTTTTTTTTCCCCCTTGCTTCCTCCCTCCCCTTTTCGCCCCCTCTTCCGGTCCCTGCCCCTCTCCCTTTCTCCCCTGCCCCTCCATCCCCTTTCCCTCTCCCTGGCCTCATTTTGCCGCCCAGGAGGTTAGCTTGTCGTCCATGCAGACCTGGACATTGTGAACCTTTTTTCTTTTCCTGCTTCCCAAATGCTGGGGTTACCGGCGCGGACCACCGGGCCCACCTGGGTCCAATTCTTACCTCTGTTTATTTAAGAGGTGGTAATGATCCGATAGTTCCCCCCCTTTTGTCCCAGGCTAATACTCCTGAGTTAAGAATATGAGGAAGAGCCGGGCGCTGGTGGCTCACGCCTGTCATCCTAGCTACTCAGGAGGCTGAGATCTGAGGATCGCGGTTCAAAGCCAGCCCGGGCAGGAGAGACTGTGAGACTCCTATCTCCAATAAACCACCAGAAAACCGGAAGTGGCGCTGTAGCTCAAGTGGTAGAGCGCTCGCCTTGAGCTGAAGAGCTGAGGGACAGCGCCCAGGCCCAGAGTTCAAGCCCCACGACCGACAAAAAAAAAAAAAAGAATATGAGGAAGATTTGGGGTTGAAGTCAGGCTTCTCCAGTCAGAGAAAGGGAGGTCAGGTCCCCAGTTATTGAGACAAGATGGTGTGTTCTGCAGGGGGACCCTGCGATGCCTGCAGTGCTCGGGGCTCATTGGAGATGGATGGATATGGGGGGAGGGGGTGCTGTTGAGGCTTTGGAGGTGAGGGTGTATGTCCTCCAATATCACCTCCGGGGGTTCATTCTTTCCCCTGCTTCCAGTCCCCTAAGCCCACAGACTCGGCCAACACTGAAGTTTTTATGAGGGGCTTATTTATAGAATCCATACACATTCACAGTTGATATGGAATTCCTGTGGGTCACAGCATGAAATCCCCTCTGAGCCCAAGGTCTCTGGGAAAGCCTCGTCCCTCTCCCTCCCCGCCTGTGAGCTGATCTGAGGGTCCATCTCAGTCCATGTATCGGTGGTCTGGCGCTTGTAGCTCGGGACGAGGAGGGAGGGGCGTTATCCATCGAAAACTCCCTCAGGTTTGTCTATGACCTTAGATCGGTGGGTCCACAAGTCCAAGCAAGGGTCAGTCCTTGAAAACACCCGGCGTGAATCCACTGGTATTCCCTGGCAGTACCGGGGTACCGGGGTGGGATCAAAAATGGCGCTTCATGTGCAAGGCCAAGTGATCGGAACGCGAGAAGGCCCGGGAGCAGAACTGGCAGCCAAAGGGGCGCTGTCCTGTGTGCTTCCGGAAGTGGCGGGTCAGCTCATCCGAGCGCGCGAACTTCCAGCCACAGTTGTCCCAGGAACAGGCATAGGGCTTCTCTCCTGGAGAGGGGCGAGGAAGCTGTGAGGGCCAATGGCTGAGCCACGCCTGGTCCTTTTCCTCGGTACGTAAGCCCTGTGTTCTGTGTTCTAACTTCCTTCATCAATTACTGCCCCCAAACCAGTCTTTCTGTGTGTGTGTGTGTGTGTGTGTGTGTGTGTGTGTAACTCGGCCTGGTCGCTGTCTGGAGCTTTTTTCTGTTCCAAGCTAACAGTCTGCCACTTGAGCCACACCTCCACCTTCTGCTGTTTTGCTGGTTAAAGGAAAATAATCTCGCCTGGGTTGGTTTCCTGTGATCGTCCCCAGTCATCAAGGACTCCCAATTCAGCTCTCCACTGGAGCTGAATTGCCTTGTTGGTATTGTTTTTATTTCTTCCCTCTTTAGCATGTTTCCTAGTTGTGTTAGGTGTATTTGCGGCCTGTTAACTATATAATAAAGACCCCAACGTTCTGTATTTTAAGATGTGGCTTCTGGGATGATTTACCTTACAATAGAGCCACGTCGGTGCCCACCTGGTTTCTCCAGTGTTCTCACACCAGTGGGGCCAACTTTACCGCTGACCTTGGTCTAGGAGGCCCTGAAGTCCACCTGATTCTTCCAGACCTATCTTCAGGGGTTAAACTCTCCCCTTGCTACGTCTGGCCCCAGCCCCCTGAGCCCTGGGGACTTGGATTCCCCTACATCCTTTTGTCTCCTAGATCCTTCTTTTCCCCGAGGCCTGCCAGTGCTTCCGGATCCCAACCTGAGCTAGCCACTCTGAAAACCAATCTGCTCAGGCATTTCACTCGTCCTCCCGGGGTCCCAGCCCCGCCCCCCCCCTTCGGCCTCCGCTGCGCTAACAAGCTCCCTCAGCCACCCTCCTTCCAAAGCTTGTGCCCGGCTTGAACACCGCTCCTCGTGTCGTTCGTCTAGCTTTCAGCCCCTCCGCCCAACCTTGGCCTTAGGTCTGACACTTCAGCTCCCAGAAGTTTCCAGTCGTCTAGGGCCCGGACTCCGGAGTTGGAATCCTAGGTTCTGCTCCTGGCCCCTCTGAGGTCCCAGAAGCCCCCGCGGCTCTCTTGGCTCCACCCCTTGTAGTAGGATTCGGACAGTAGCTCCGCCCCCAGGCCCGGTACCACGCCTCCGGCCACGCCCCTCCGCCCCGGCCACGCCCCTTACCCGTGTGCGTGCGCAGATGCGCTTTCAGGTGCGAGCTCTTGGTGTAGCGCTTGCCGCAGCCCGGGTACTCGCACGTGTGCGCCGCCTGCCCCTTGAGCGCCGCCTGCCTCTTCAGCGGCCCCGAGCGCTGGCTGCGTTTGGGGACCGCGGCTTCGGAGGTCACGCTGGGGTCGGCTGCGGTGGCCCCGAGTCCGGTGCCAATCGTACCCGGTCCCAGACAACCCAGAAAAGACGGGGGTGCGGCGGGGCCCGGGGAAGGCCGGAAGAGCTGGAAGTGCCCTTGGTACTGCGGCGCCGCCGGGTACAGCGCCGGGTACCCCGAGAGCAGCCCGTAGGGCGCGCCCGGGCCCGCGGGCACCGAGAACCCGGTGCGTGCAAAGTAGCTGGCCGAGGAGCTCGCACCCGGCTCGGGGTACCCTGGCTGCAGCGGCAGCGCCTTGAGATCGGGGGCCGGGGCCACGAAGGGGTCGGGCGTGGGGGGGTCGCGGGGCGGGCTGTCCCCACCCCGCGTGCTCCTCGGGCCCCAAAACCCCCGCCGCCAGCCCCGGGCCGCCCGCGTAGGCGCCCAGACTCTCGGGCGGAGGCGGGTACGGCCCCCCTGGGCCCTCACCGGGCGCGGGCGCACCGGGGCGGGGCACCCCGCCCAGCTCGGGCCCCGGGAAGTTGGTGAGGAAAAGATCTAGGTCCCAGGTGCAGGCCGCGTCCCTCTCATCGTCTTGGTGCTGCCCGGGAGGGTCGTCCGACTTCAGGCCTGCGTGAAGGGGCAGCCCCATGGGGTCCGGGGGGCCCGGGCCCATGTCCTGTGCCTCGTCGGAGCGCCACCACTGCGGACGGGGGAGGGGGGGGGGATTCGGAGTTAGGCCTCCATGGATCCCGGGAGTACCCTGTCCAGGGACAGTGCCTGCTGGACACCCTGGCAAAGCTGCAGAAAATGGGGTCCCATTTGCCTATCTCTCCCCCATAGGGCCCCCCCACCCCCACCCCTCCGACAGCCCCAGACAGATCCATCATGTTTGGCTGGAGACGTGAGATAAGCTCTCATTATCTAGAGCCACATTCGGGATGGGGGAAGGGGCGGCAGGGCTGTTTGGGGGAGGCTGTTGAGGGAGGGACACCAAGCCTCGACTCAGTTTCCCCCTAAGCCATCTCCTTCCCCATCTCCCTTCCCAACAGGGTGAATTCCCAAACCCTGGAACCTCCCCTCCACACACACAGAAATATTTACCATTCACCTCGCCCCTGATAACTTGGTTTGGTCCTTCCGAGCCTGGGTCTATACTATGTCGATTTTTTATTTTGGGGGATTTTTTTTTTTTTCTGAGACAGGATCTTAACTGTAAAGCTCAGGTGAACTTTTTTTTTTCTTTTCTTTTTTTTGCTGGTCCTGGGACTTGAACTCCGGCCCTGGGTGCTGTCCCTGAGCTTCTTTTGTTCAACGCGAGTGCTCTACCACTTGAGTCACAGCACCCTTACAGCTTTTTTTAGTTTATTGTAGATAAGAGTCTCTGGGACTTTCCTGCCAGTGTTGGCTTTGAACCACAATCTTCAGATCTCTGCCTCCTGAGTAGCTAGGATGACAGGCATGAGCCACCAATGTCCAGCCTAGCCTCAATTCTTGATCCTCCTCCTCTTCTTCCCACCTCTGCATCTCACATTCTGGGATTCCAGCCTGTACCACTATGCCCAGCTCCAGAACTCAAGTTTTCTATTACAGAAATGGGCCCCACCTAGAGCCTCAAACCCTTAGAAGCCCCTCACCCATAGATCAGGCTGAGAGCCTTGCCCACATCAGAGGAAATCAAGAAAAGAAGCAGTCCCCACCCCTGGGCCCCCACTTGGCCCTACCTTAAGGATGTCCTCCTGGCCGTCCTGAAAGGGGCCCAGGGTGGCCATTGTGCTGAGAGAAGGCCGGGCGGTCTCAGCTCCAGCCATGGCTGGCGATGCCCACCCTGGGCCTCAGACCTCCTCACTTTCTACTGCCTCGTGGGCTCTGAGGCTCTGTGGGCCCCTGGAGGGCTCCTCTCTGCCCTGGGATGATTGGCTACAGCCTCTGATAAGCCCCAGGCAAGGCAGGGAGGGGGGGTCAATTTCAGGGGGAGGGGGGGAGAACAGACCTCACTTTAGTCTGTTTGGGGCTAGGCCTTAAAGACAGATTCTGTATCCAAAGCCAAGTCAGATGTCAGGGGCTGCGGGAGGAGGGGGCACAAGGCTTGAAGGCTTAAGAACTGGATAGGAAGAGACACGAGTGTTTGAAGGGCGAGAGGTTTCAGAGGGGGTGGTTCCTTGGAGAAGGGGCAACAGGAAGGGGTGGGT